GATATTTTACTTCTAAATATAGTCAGCCCTGTTTTCCTAAGTTCTATATCTGCACATTCAACTACCTACAGATAGAAAAAATTAGAAAAATACTGAATATGTATTAAACATGTACAGATTTTTTTTGGTCATTATTCCCTAAGCAATATAGTACAATAACATACCATTGTCTATGTATTAGGTATCCTAAGTATTGAATCCAGGATTCAATCAAGATTCACTAATTAATTACAGATATTGGGTTTCTTTACTGTCTTTGAACATAGAACAGTACCCACCTCACTTCTGCTGGCACACCCCTTACTGATACTTTGGTGGTTTTCAGTGTGGCCTCTTTGAAGAGCTCAGGCCAATTATATGTAAAAAGTTCTCCACTCTTTATTACAAACCCAGGCAAAGACATTTCAAAGAAAGAAAACTTCAAACCAATATCTCTAATGAACATAGATGCAAAAATTCTCAATAAAATTCTGACAAATTGAATAAAAAATATATAAAAAAGGTAGAGCACCATGATCAACTGGGATTCATCCTACTTATGCAGGGTTGGTTCAACATACAAAAATAAATAAATGTAATTCATCATGTCAATAGACTCAAAGATAAGAATCATATAATCATCTCAATAGATGCATAAAAAGCATTTGACAAAATACAGCACCCCTTTATGTTCAAAACACCAGAAAAATTAGGGAGAACAGGAACATATCTCAAAACTGTAAAGGGTATCTACACTAAGCTCCAGGCCAACATCATTCTAAATGGAGAAAAATTGAAGGCATTCCCTCTAAAAACTAGAACAAGACAGGGATGCCCTCTATCACCACTTCTATTTAACATAGTTCTTGAAACACTGGCCGGAGCAATCAGATAGCTGAAATAAATTAAAGGGATACACATAGGAAAAGAAGAATTCAAATTGGCACTATTTGCTGATGATATGATACTATACCTAGAACCCCAAAAAGTTTCACCAGAAAACTTCTAGAACTAGTAAATGAATTCAAGATAGAAAATCAACACCTGTAATTCAAAGGCATTTCTGTATATCAATGACAAATCCTCTGAAAGGGAAATGAGAAAACTATTCCATTTACAATATCCTCAAAAAACAAACAAACTTGGAAATCAACTTAACAAAAGAGGTGAAAGATCTATACAATAAAAACTACAGAACCCTAAAGAAAGAAATCCAAGAAGACCTTAGAAGATGGAAAGATCTACCTTGCTCTTGGATAGGCAGAATTAATATTACCAAAATGACCATACTACCAAAAGCACTATATAGATTTAATACAATTCCAATCAAAATCTTAATGGCATTCCTCATAGAAATAGAAAAAAGCAATCATGAAATTCATCTGGAAAAATAAGAGACCCAGAATAGCTAAAGTAATCCTTAGCAGGAAAAGTGGAGCAGGTGGCATCACAATACCAGACCTTAAACTATACTACAGAGCAATAGTAACAAAAACATCATGGTATTGGCACCAAAATAGACTGGTAGACCAATGGTACAGAATAGAGGGCACAGAGACTAACGCACAAAATTACAATTGTCTTATATTAGACAAAGGCACCAAAAACATACATTGGAGAAAAGATAGCCTCTTCAACAAATGTTGCTGGGAAAACTGGAAATTCTTATGCAACAAATGAAATTAAACCCATATCTCTCACCATGAACAAAACTCAACTCAAAGTGGATCAAGACCTAGGCATTAAACCAGAGACCCTGTCTCTTAATAGAAGAAAAAGTAGGCCCTAATTTTCATCAAGTTGGATTAGACCCCAACTTCTTTAATAAGACTCCTATAGCACAAGAATTAAAACCAAGAATCAACAAATGTGATGGAATAAAACTAAAAAGTTTCTTCTCAGCAAAAGAAACAATCATGAGGTGGAATAGAGAGCCTACACCTTGGGAGCAAATTTTTACCCCTCACACATTAGATAGAGTACTAATTTCTAGAGTATATAAAGAACTTGAGAAGCTAAACAAAAAACCAAATAGCCCATCAATAAATGGGCCAAGGACCTGAACAGACACTTCTCAGAAGAGGATATACAATCAATCAACAAATATATGAAAAAATGTTCATCATCTCTAGCAGTTAGGGAAATGCAAATCAAATGTACTCTGAGATTTCATCTCACTTGAGTCAGAATGGCAGCTATTATGAAGACAAACAACAATAAGTGTTGGCGAGGATGTGGGGAAAAAGGTACACTTGTACTTTGCTGGTGGGATTGCAAATTGGTGCAGCCAATATGGAAAGCAGTATGGAGATTTCTTGGAAAACTTGGAATAGAACCATCATTTGACCCAGCTATCACTCTCCTTAGTCTATACCCAAAGGACTTAAAAATAGCATACTACAGGGACACAGCCACATCAATGTTTATAGCAGCAATTCACAGTAGCTAAACTGGAAACAACTTAGATGCCTTTCAGTAGATGAATGGATAAAAAAAATGTGGCATATATACACAATGGAATATTACTCAACAATAAAAGAGAATAAAATCAAGGCATTTGCAGGTGAATTGATGGAGTTGGAGAAGATAATGCTAATTGAAGTTAGCCAATCCCCAAAAAACAAATGCTGAATGTTTTCTCTGATATAAGGAGACTGATTCATAGTGGGGTAGGGAGGGGGAGCATGGGAGGAATAGATGAACTCTAGATATGGCAGAGGGGTGGGAGGGGTAGGGAGGGGAAGGGGGTTAGAAATGATGGTGGAATGAGATGGACATCATTATCCAAAGTACATGTATGAAGACACGAATTGGTGTGAATATACTTTATATTCAACTAGAGATATGAAAAATTGTGCTCTATATGTTTAACATGAATTGTAATGCATTCCACTGCCATTTATTTAAAAAACTCAATAAAAATAAAATTAAAAAGAAAAGGAAAAGTTCTCCACTCTGGATTTATCTGACTGTGTGAAACAGCTTCAACATTTTTTTCAAGAACACTCCCTAGGTAATCTTGTGTATCTAGGATCCCATCCCAATCCGCAGCAGATATCTCTTCATGATTAGATTCAGCTTGTCACTCTCAGCAGTAATATTTTATGAGTAATGCTGGGTCCTCTTCAGGGCATCACATTCAGAGACAGGTTGTCTCCACTCCCTTCCCTAGGAATGTTGATTCTGACTGCCAGTCAAGTTGTTGCTTTGTCTACTCATTTTTTGCCTTGCAACTAACACATCACCTTTGGGAGATATTTTTAAAACTATGTGAATATTATGGCTCCTTGTCAAGCTTTCTACCATAGACTTATCACCCATTTTCTTCAATCAGACCTTACCATTGCTGGTTGTAAAATGGTGATTTTTCAAATTTAACCACTCTCTCCATATTTATCAGCGCTATCTGGTTCTCCACGATGTTCTAAGTTCAACTTGAACTTTTCATGCCCTGCTCATTTAACCAGCCATTTCTCCAGGGACCTCTGGTTTTTTTTTAGTAGTTTCCTGTATTTTGGGAGAGTACTTTCACAGGATAATAGATGACAGTTGTAGGTTGGCAGTCTCCCCTCCCTTCCTTTGGTTCTTTTGAAGAAGTTTTTCCATTGTTTTCTGGTTTGTGGTATTTATGATGAGAAGTTAGTGTCTTGTCATTGTTTCCTTTAAAATATTTTTATTCAGTTAACAAACATATGTCTGTTTTTAATATTTTTCTCTTTATCTGTGGTTTTGAGCATTTGAACTTTGTTGATCTGTGGGGTGATTTTTTTTGGTTATATTTGAAAATCCTTTAGCCATTATTTCTTCAAATACATTTTTTCCTGCCACCGTATCTCACTGTTCCTGCCGGGACTGTCAATTACCCCTGTGTCAGACTGACCAAT